AAGAACTCAGCTGCTCCCTTCAACAAGTGAAATTCGATATCTCCTTTCAGATCTTCATACTTTAAAAATAGATCCTTGGAAGGTGTTTTTCTACTCTCTCTCCAATAACCCAACATATGCGTCCAAAATGGGCCTGCCTCATGGACTCCGATACAGCATCTCTCAAATGCTTCCTCACATGATAATTTTGGTAAAGATGGTGGTGCAATTTTGTTCATGGAAAGCCACAAAGAAACAAACTGGTCAAATGGGTTTCGACATATATAAATCATCTTGCATTTGGATTTGGTAATCGAATCAGGCAACGAATGAAACGGAACACGTGTACAAAAAATTCTTGGTTCAGGCAGGTTAGATAGATCAGGAATTTGGTTGTTATTTGCATAGTAATTTAACTCTATGAAAGGAACAAGCTCATGTGCATTGGAAATGAGCAAAGGATGGTCACTTCGTGCTGGAGAGAAATGCTTACGATTCACAATGGCAAAAATAAGGGCTTTATTTCAACCAAGTAGTACCATCTCTCTGTAAAGTGGCGATAACAATATCGTTGTCTTTTGCTTGGAAGTGCTTTGGAAAAGAGCGTATGCCTTGGATTGGAACTGGCATAGCACATGTCTTCATGGAGATAAATGTTTGGGAAAGCCCAACCCGTCTCTCTGCGAAGAGATTTGAACAGATCCTTATATTCTTGGCCGTATTGTTCATACTCTTCATGGCAAATCTCGTTCTCAGACTCAACATTTGGCTGACCTTTTATGACGGAAGTGACACTAGTTTCAGCCATTGGAAGGATGGTATAGTTAGGTAATTAACTAGTAAACAAGTTTCCATTTTTTATATACCATTGATCTGGCAATCGATTATTGCCATTATTTGAAATTAAAAATCGCGGTCTGTATTATAGAAGGATCTGATTATGGAGCGTGTGAAGAGATAGATGCAGACGCATTCGCTGATAGCCCGATCCAGCTGTGCACGCCAAGGGAGTCGGTTTATACAAGTATATTTCAATAATAAATGACACTAAAATAATCATTTTAATATGATCATTATTGTGATGTGCCAACCAATGCTTGAATTAAAAAAAGCTGAAGACAACTAAATCATTGAAAATTATACAGAAAGTTTAGTGGGGGCAACAAAGTATGACGGTAACTTTGATTCCTATGGCTAGGTACCACTGCCACTTGCAGAGGATGCCGAATTGTCAGTGGATTCATCACTACTCTCGAAGCATTTATATATCCAATTAAGCATTTATATATCCAATTTTAATTATCTCCTTTTGGCAAAAAAAGAAGAAGAAAGCTTTCAACTAATATTGCTTTTATCTTTTACTTTGTATTTTATCTTTATTAAAATTTTATAACTCTATTTTTTAATTTTTGAAATTGAACTGATTAAAATCCCCTCTCTTTCAAATCCCTCACACCAAACATAGAGTAAGAAGTGCAAAGCAGAGAAAATATTAACAAAGATAGTTATCACCAATCTCTGCATATGATAAATGGAGTCTAAAATTGATGGCTTTCCAATGATCAATTCTCATGTAAAAAATATATATGAAGGTTTATTCAACAACCTAAAGTATATGGTGTATATATATATTAGGGAAGAAGACAAAAAAATGATAAACTAACTTGGGAATGACAGAACGTCTGCTGAATTTGCAAAATCTCATTTTGGTCACATGAGACCAAATTAGGATTATCGTATTAAAATAAAAGACTAAATTGCCCTTCATTTTATTTATTGTTTTTAAAATATCCAAGCCTCCACTAGCCGGCTGGTCGTCGGAGCTCTGGTGACCAGCAGACAATTGGTCACCGGGACTCTGGCAGCCAAAAACAATTTTTTTAAAAAATTTTTACAACTTCAGTATAACAGTTAACCACTTTGGTAATATTATTAACAACTTCAATATAATAGTTAACAACAGGTTTTATAGGAAATTCAATAAGCTCCGGCGGCCGGAAACTATTTTTTTTGAAAATTTTTACAACTTCAATATAACAGTTAACAACTTTTGTGATGCTATTAATAACTTTAGTATATCAGTTAACAACAGGTCTTTCAGAAAATTCAACAATGGGGCATCGGAGCTACGGCGGCCGAAAACAATTTTTTAAAATTTTTTTACAACTTTAGTATAATGGTTAACAATTTTTGTAACGTTATTAACAATTTTAGTATAGCAGTTAACAATAGGTTTTTGAATTTGTTAATAGTATTACTAAAGTTGTAAAAATGCTACTTTTTTAATTTCCCGAAAAACCTATTGTTAACTGCTATATTGAAGTTGTTAATAGAAAAGTTGTTAACTATTATATTGAAGTTGTAAAAATTTTCAAAAAAAAAGTTGTTAAAGTTATAAAAATTCCATTTTTTGAATTTTTAAGAAAATCTGTTATTAAATACTATACCAAAATTGTTAATAGAGTTACGAAACTTGTTAACAACATTACTGAAGTTGTAAAAATGTTACTTTTTGAATTTTTTGGAAAACTTGTTGTTAATTGCTATACTGAAGTTGTTAATAACATTATAAAAGTTGTTAACCGTTATACTGAAGCTATAAAAATTTTCAAAAAAACAAAAAGTTGCTATTGTGAATCTACCATTGTTTTGAATTTTTGAGAAAACATATTAAATACTATACAAAAGTTATTAATAGAGTTACAAAACTTGTTAATGGCATTATTGAAGTTGCAAAAATGCTACTTTTTAAATTTATCAAAAAACATATTGTTAATAGCATTACAAAATTTGTTAACCATTATACTAAAGTTATAAAAATTTTCAAAAAAATTGTTTTCGGCCACTATAGCTTCATTAACCAATTGTTGAATTTCCTAAAAAAACTATTGTTAACTAATATACTGAAGTTGTTAATAGCATTACATAAGTTGTTAACTGTTATACTAAAGTTGTAAAAATTTTCAAAAAAAGTATTTCCGGCTGCCAAAACTTGTCGAATTTCCCAAAAAACCTATTGTTAATTGCTATATTAAAGTTGTTAATAGTGTTACTAAAATTGTTAACCATTATACTGAAGTTGTAAAAATTTTCAAAAAAATTGTTTTTGGTCGCCGGAGTTTAATTGTTGAATTTTCTAAAAAATATGTTATTAATTGATGTACTGAAGTTGTTAATAGTGTTACAAAAGTTGTTAACTGTTATACTGAAGTTGTAAAAATTTTCAAAAAAATTGTTTTCGGCCGCCGGAGCTTGTTGAATTTCCCAGAAAACCTATTGTTAACTGTTATACTAAAGTTGTTAATAGCATTACAAAGTGGTTAACCGTTATACTGAAGTTGTAAAATTTTTTAAAAAAATTGTTTCTCACAGCCGGAACTAGGGTGACCAATTGTCGGCCAATGAGGACTTTGGTATTTTAAAAACAATAAATAAAATGAAGGGCAATTTAGTCTTTTCATTTAACATGATAATCCCAATTTGGTCTCATGTGACTGAAATGGGATTTTACATATTCAGTGGACGTTTCTGTCATTTCTAAGTTAATCAGTCATTTTTCTGTCTTTTTCCCTATATATTAACTTGAAGTATTTTATTTTTCAAATACGTTCAGCACTCTAAATTTTATTTTGGGACATCTAGTATCTTGAAATATTTTTTCATATGCATCTAGCACCTCCAAATTATTCTGTGTATCAAATATTCTAAATTGCTAAGCGTAAAAGTGCACTAGAAAAATATTTTAGAGTATTGGATAAACCTGAAAAAATATTTTAAAATGTTTAATGCATTACAAAATACCTTATAATACTAGATATATATATAAAACAAAAACTTTAGAATATTAGATACACTTTTAATTAAAAATATATTAACGTATTTATTTCTGTAAAGTTCAGAGAACATGCCCAAAATTGAACGCGCATCCAAGTTTTTGTTCACGGCAAATTCACCTTTCTCTAAAAAGTTAAAGTCAAAAAGTGCGAAGTCCAAAGTTACAAGCGGCAGTTCTCTCTGCCACTTGCATAAGTTACTGGTCCCTCCTAATCAAAAGGGCCAAATTATCGCACCTGAAACCCATATTATCATTTATTTCCTAACCCGAATTGCAAATGGTAAGTTTGGACTCATTGATAATCCAGGGTTGCTCTATATGTATTCCCAAACAATTTTAGGTTGTGACATCAATGTTAAAATACATTGAGATATTTATCCAGTATTTTTAAAATATTACTTTAAATTTTATTTTTAATTGTTTGACAAATAAGACCTCTATTATATATCCATTTAACAGTCAATATATGAAAGAGTAAGAATGAAATATAATTCATACTTCATTCGTCAAGAAATCATTCCATGAGTGATGGGACAATGATAACTGAAAATCATTATTTGGAATGGAAGGAAGTTATAATATATTGAAAATGCAACCTCATCTTTTACCTAATTTCACTTCTTCTTTTTTTTAACTTTATCAAAAGAAATAAGCTTAATGAATGAAATAATTTACCCAGTAGTACCTCCTCCACTGTGTTCTTCCCACGATATCGGTTTCTCTTCAGCTAGGTCTCTCCACTGAGCATTGCTGTAGCAATTATTTTTCCCTTCGATGAAAATATAAAGGTAACAAAATAGACAGGTTCCTAAATTCATATACTTGTTTATTTATTATTTTCTTAAAAAATAAAATAATACAAAGTAAAATCAAGCAGAATCGCCACAATTATTTAAATTTATACTTTTTCGGCCTTAATTATTTACAGTTATACAATAAGAGAGAACATAGACATAAGAAAACAAAACAAAACAAAACACGGCACAACTATATGACTGAACCTGAACTGAAGGTCTGAAATCCCTATTTTATCATCTACGAATTTTTTGGTTTAAGAGGAAAAAAAAAATCTTTCTTACACCACTGATAATGCGAATATGGATGAGGACTTGACATATTACTTTTTAGCTGAAGGAGGTCATACAGTTCCAGAGTTGACATGGCGATTAAAGTGGAAGAGGAAGCATTATGTTATGGCAGAGATTTCATCCTTATCAGAGATCTTATATTGAAAGGACAGCCCAGAACCAGAAAACTTCTCTTCCATTACTTTGGATAATTTCTCTATCATCCAAGGCGAAAAATAATTAACCCAATCACCAACCGCACCTTTCCTAAAGAAATCCTTGTTTTTAAACTTCTGCACAAATTTTCCAGTCTTGTTCACCTCCAATTCCTTCATCTTCTCAAAGCTGCACAGCTCAATTATGTTTTCAACCACACCATTGTTTTCCTCCTCAGAATTGAATGGGCAATCTATGAACTCAGCCACTCTTTTCAAGTGGAAACGAATATCTCCTTTCAAATCCTCATACCTTAAAAACAAAACCTTGTTTGGTGTCTCTTGGTTGGCTTTCCAGTAACCCAAAATATGTGTCCAAAATGGACCACACTCGTTAGTCCCATTTGAGTACCTCTCAAGCGCTTCCTCGCAAGATAATTTGGGTAAAGATGGTGGTACGAGCTTGTTGACAAACAACCAAAACGATATGAAATTGTCAAATGGATCACGACATATATAGATGATCTTGCACTTGGATTTAGTAATTGAATCAGGCAATGAATGAAATGGAACATGTGTACTAAAGAGTCTAGGTTCAGGCAAGCTGGAGAGATCTGGAATTTGGTTGTTTACATAATGATTGTACTCAAAGAAAGGAACAAGCTCATGTGCATTTGAAGAGAGCAGGGGATGGTTATTTTGTGAAGGGGAAAATACCTTGCGATTCACAATGGCAAAAGTGAGGGCTTTCAACCATGTTGTGCCTGATTTTGGCAGGGAAGCTAAGATAATATCACTATCTTTTGCTTGGAAGTGCTTTTGGAAAGAGCATATGGCTTGAATTCGAGTTGGTATATACCAAATCTGTTGGTAGAGATAGATGTATAGGTGGCCACAACCCTTCTCTCTGGGAAGAGAAAGAAGCTCTTTACATTGTTGGCTAAGTTTTTCATACTCTTCATCGTAAGCCTTATCTTCAAGCTTAGCATTTGAGTAGTGGCTTTTTGTCAGCAACGTAGAAGTAGCTTCAGCCATTGAAATGCTGGTGTAGTTAATTAGTTGATAACTTAGTATTATTTATAGGAAGTGGGGTAGCATCAGAAAAATTTTGAGGGCCAATTTTGCGAAGGACTAATCAAGATTTATTCAAAGAATGCTTTTCAAATATATTTGCTCTGATTTATTTTGTTTAGTTCTAAATATATGAACATAATCTATCTACTATCTCCTAAATTTATTTATTTCTTAAATTATTCTTAACAATTACATATATTAATTAAAGGGATTTATATTAGTGTGGGTAGCTGCCAAGGCAAGTAATTAAATAAATTATTTTAGGAAAATTAACATAACTTTTTTTTATAAATAACCGAATTAATTAATTTTTTTAATTTCTGTAAATTAGTTATTTTGTTTTTTAATTAAGGGGGAAATAGCTCTCACTTTGTCCTTTCTACGTAACCTTTTTCAATTGTTATTGGATTTTTCCCCTTGTCATTTTGCATGTATAAGATTCGATTGTTCGAAAATTAATAACCACAGTGAGTCAGTGAAAGCTACATAGCATCTATCTGTTTAGCAAAAAGACGATCGAGGTGAGCTACGTGGAAATTAAGATGTCAGGAAATATGTCCTCCTGGCTGGAACTGAAAATAAAGACAAAATAATTTTGATTCGAATAATTAATGGTTTTTTTATTTAGATTATTGTTTTGAGTAGCATCTAACATGTGAGTGTGACTTCGAGGAAGAAGGAAAGAAGTACAACTCCAACGTCTATTATAATAAGTGATTTGCAACTTATTTTCATATATCAAAATATACATTAAATCAATAAAAAATTTTAAATTTACTCTTATAAAAGTCTTTTCTCTGTGCATTTACAAATGATTCCTCACATCTCTCTCTTCTTTCTCTCATTCCAACAAAAATTAAATAAGAATAAAATTTGAAAACGATAAGGAAAAATTATGTAAAATTCTCATATTCAGTATAGTACACGATAAGCTTATCTCACACATAATTAATAATTTAAAAATTATGTTTGTATGGAATAACTGTAAGGAAAAAATATTAAAGAACTTTCTTTTAGACAAAAATTAAAAACCAGTTGGCATGAGATCGAATCATTTGTACTTTAAAATATCACATGAATGCAAACTCTGAAAGGACAATACGACATATTTGCTAGATGGTCCCCTATTAATTTAAAATTATTTTTGTACACTTGTTACAAATGACATTCAGCACCGATTGCAACCTATCACAAATAGGGAAATTAAAGGAGCCCAGATACTTTTTTGAAAAATAATAAGACACACAAATAAAATTTGCGTATAATCAATAGGAAAATGAAAGCCTAATCGAATAATTGCATAAATTACATACTACATTTCATGGCTTACAAAATCCAACAAGAGAATTAGCTAAGGTACGATCCCATCCTGGTAATCCACAAGTTGCAACCTGCATCAACATTCTTTTCCAAGCTGCCAATCTGAAAAAGTGTGAAATGGGTTTAGTGCAATGGCACAATTAGATGTAAGAAAGGGCTTACAGTTAAGCTTCAACTAGAACAATTAAGTCCAATGCTTCAGGTTCCACAGACAGAGACCTACATGTCTTAAATTATCTTCTTTCAAAGACAGACACAAATTAAAGACATTACCTGATTGTAAAGAACAACTAAAAGGATAGACCAGACCCAACCAACTTCTCTTCAATCACTTTGGACAATTTCTCTATCATTGAAGGGTTGAAATGATTAACCCGATCTCCTACTTAAGCTACACAACGCAATAATGTCTTGAATAAACCCATCACCTTCTTCCTTGGAATTGAATGGGATATCCAAGAACTGGGCCCACTTTTTTCAAGTAGAAGTGGATATCTCCTTTCAAATCCTTATACTTTAAAAACAGAATCTTGTTTGGCATCTCTCTACTTGCTCTCCAATAACCCAACATATGTGATCAAAATGGGCCACCCTCATGGATCCCCTCCCAATGCCTTTCAAGTGCTTCCTCAAGTGATGATTTAGGTAAAGATGGTGGTGCGATTTTGTTTAGATGAAACCAAAAGGACACAAAATTGTCAAAAGGGTTTCGACATATGTAGATTATCTTGCATTTGGACCTGGCAATTAAATCACGCAACTATTGAAATGGAACATGTGTACTAAATAGTCTTGGTTCAATCAAGTTGGAGAGGTCAGGGATCTGGTTATTTGCATAAGATTGAACTCAAGGAAAGGAAAAGCTCATGAGCATTGGAAATGAGAAGAGGATGGTTATTTTGTGAAGGAGAGAAATGGCAACGATTCACAATGGCAAAAGTACAAGGGCTTTCAACCAAATAGTACCTGATTTCGGTAAGGAAGCTATAATAATATCACTATCTTTTGATTGGAAGTGTTTTTGGAAAGAGCATATCCCTTGAATACTAGTTGGTGCAAACCAAATACCTTGGTAGAGATAAACATATGGGCTAGTCCATCCCCTCCTTTTGGGAAGTGAAAGAAGTAGTTCCTTACATTCTTGGCTAAGTTGCTCATATGCTTCATCGTAAGCCTCTTTCTCAAACTCACCATTTGATTGGCTTTTCGTGAAGGAAGTTGCAGAAGTTTCCGCCATTGAATCGCCGCTTGGGATGTTCACTTAACCAGGAAAAATATGTAGGCATATAAGAATTCAGCTCACAAGTTTCCAATATGTACAGCACAGCTTGGCCACTGATTATTGTGATTATTTAAAATGAACAGTCATACTTATAATTGTACGTAGTCGATTATTAGAATAGGTCTAAAATGAGGTACCGTTAGAATATAGGTGTCCACATATTTGGTTGCCAAATATTGAGAGAGAAATGATAAAACGATCTAGTTCTTATTATTGAATCTTAATAAAGTGATTTTACAGAGTCAACACGTAAAGTGCTAGAGAAGTTCAGACGTCATAACATGTGTACAATGAGCTGGCTCTTAATAGACTTATCTAACTGATTTCATGACAGTAAAACTAACAGAGGTTAGAGTTATAACTCTCATTCCCCTTGCTTACAAAGGGCGAAGTACAAGAAAGAAGAAACAAGCAACAACTGAGAACTAAGAACCAGAATTAAGAACAAGAATCGTTTTAATTTCTTCATCAGCAGAAGCATGGTAACCAGTGAGATCTGTCAAATCCGGTGTTTCAGGAGACATAATGTTGAGTTTTTTTCTACAGTAGAAAAAGAGAGCACTAGATTGAGCCTTAGCCAGAGTATCAGCCACTTGATCAAACGAGGGAACAAATCCAACATGAACAATCCCTGCAGACACTTTTTCTCGGATGAAATGAAGATCAAGCTCTACATGCTTAGATTTGTTGTGCAGCATTGGATTAGCTGACAAAGCTACTGTTCCTGAATTGTCACACCAGATTGTTGGAGTGTCCCCCACATCAATGCACATTTTCTTGAGCGAGGCCAGTATGCAGATGACATCCGCCACTGCATCAGCAACACTTCGATATTCTGATTCCCTAGCTGATCTAGAAACTACTTGCTGCTTTTTGGATGTCCAAGTGATTGGATTTGGACCTAAATGAGTGCAAAAACCACTTGTACAGCATCTATCCGGCTTGCTTCCTCCCTAATCTGCATCAGCAAAGGCCTGGACCCGAAAAACTATGGCTGGTTTAATTAACAATCCATGAGGATAAGTACCCCTGAGATATCTTAGCAACTTTTCAACATATTCCCATTGTTTTACAGTAGGTTCATGCATGAATTGACTGAGTTTATTAACAGTGAACGCAACATCAACTCTGGTATAACCGACGTACTGAAGCGTACCGAGCACAGTTCTGTATAAAGAAGGGTCAGAAAAAGGAGCACTGTTCCTGGCCTTAAACGTGCATTTACAGCCATTGGAGTGGCATAAGCTGTCGTAAAACATAAATTTGTTTTTTGCAGGAGCTGGTCTATATATTGTCTTTGTGTAAGTAATAAGCCAAAAGTAGTCCAAGTGAATTCAATGCCAAGGCAAAAAGAGAGCTCTCCAAGATCTTTAACAGAGAACATATCACCCATTTTTGTAATTAGTTGCTGTATAATTTTTCTTGGAACTACCAGAAATGACTAGATCATCCACTTAAGCAAGGAGATAAGTAATCTCTAAGCCATATTCGTTGATGAACAAACAAGAGTCTGCTTTGGATGCTTTAAAACCCAGAGCCTCTAATGCAGAGTGAAGCTCTATGAACCAAGCTCGTGGAGCTTGTTTTAGTCCATATATTGCTTTCTTTAGTTTACAGACTAATGGTTGTCCATCATCACCAAATTTTTCAAGACCTTGAGGTTGTTCCATGTAAACCTCCTCTTGTAAGCCCCCATATAGGAAGGCAACTTGATGAAGCTTGCAACCATTTGTGACAACAACCGTATGTAAGCACAGCTCTGACTGTAATGGCTTTGACCACTGGATTGAACATACCTGTAACATCGGTTTCAGCCTCTTGCACATAACTCTTAGCTACTAGTTTGCCTTTGCATTTAGCAAGAGAGCCATCCACTTGCAACTTAGTTTTAAACAACCACTTACAGCCAATGGTTTTCCTCCCCGAAGGTAGAGGAAGAAGCTCCTTGGTGCTAAGCTTAATCAACGCACACTGCAAAAGAAATGACCTTTGGTGATGATTTTCGGTAGTGACTCTAAAAAGTTACTGCTAAAACTTGACC